GCCGATCGTTTCTGTCTAACAGCTCGGAGGCTGAGAGCCTCTCCACAGAGAATCCCTAATCAAATTCCCTTTTATTCCTGCCTCCCGAGCTCCTCACCCGGAATCACACTGCATTACAACTCACTAACATATGCCCACATCCTCCTTCTCCACCATTTCTCTCCCTGTCTCGCTTCCTTCAATCCCTCAGCAGCACTGTCTTTTAGTCTAAATAAGAAAGAGCAGAGCTGTGGAAGAGTTCCTCCTGCAGGTTGGTGTGATGTGCTGTGATGAAAGGACATGGCGACAGAGAGGCCTATTAATAATGAAGCAGAGAGGAGACTCAGGGAGAGAGAAGGGACTGACGAGAGGCAGCTGAACATCACAGGGGAGAGCGAGGGTTTAGCAGACGTACAGAGAGCGGGGTTAAAAATGACATTTCAAATGCAACAAAAAGGGGGAGAGACAATACAGGAAGCAAGAGAGAGTGGAAGACCACCCCCTCTTATTTTGCTTTGCATTATTACTTACTAGAACCGGAGGGGGAACCAGCAATTGTACCTGAAAGAGAATAAGAAAAAGGGAGAGGAGATGAGAACTTGTTTATTTATGCATTCAATTTGCCTAAAGACTCTGCCTCATTCATCAGACTCAGGAGGCGGAGAGGGCTTAAGAGCCATTCTGCTAAATAAGGTTTGTTGTAGTCGACCTCTTGCTGTCTTCAAGTAATTACTGGGTGTCTACCGCCTACCGCTCCTTTATTCCCCGATTTAACCTTTTATTCTTCCAGAAAATCAGAGGCCCCTCATCATATATGTATGTTTTAAGAGAGCGCTGCCACTTTGCTTCAATTGAGCCCAAACTTTGTGCCTTTTTTGCATGTTTTTCCGAGATTGTATTTATAGTTAGCCTAGCTTGGCATGCATAATGCACTCTGTAGAGACCAAACTGTTTTGTGAGAATTGTTTGTAGCATTTCAACAGAGCAAGCTGCAAACATTTGAATTTTTTAATTCTGCTAATGGGATTCAGTGGTTTGAAAGCACGGTGATGAAGCTCTGAAGGCTTGTGTCGGTATAGAACTGGGTTAGAAATAACAGCATGATTTAAAAAATAATTAAAAAATGCTGACAATAGAGCCATTCTCTGCAGTGTGTGAGCAGGTACAGGTGTGTCTGACTGGGTTTCTTTCTGCGCATGTGAGTGTGTCTATGTTGGTTTGAAGGGAGAAAACTAGGGAGGGGCTGCCCTAGATTATTAATTTATCATAGCTTTCTACTGTAGCTGGCTCCACTCTTAGAGAGGATTTCCCCCCACGCACTCTGCACTGATACAGCGCTCTGATCTGCTCTCTGCAGCGAGGTGACGACAACTCGCCCAACTCAGTCCCTCCGTCATCTTCTCTCAACTGTGTTCCTTTGAACTCGTTCCTTTCATTCTGCTTCTCATTCAGGATCTCACAGTGATTATAAACCTATACACCCATCAAGCAAGGCAAATGCAGAACACTGCATGTACATTAGATTTGAACAAATATGTCATCATGAATTCTGATTAAAAACAATCAAATGAATTGTGTTAATGCTTCAGGAGAAGCTGGGATTGTTAGAGCAAAATGGTATAGAATAAATAAATACAATAATAAAATATAACTAAATAAGTACTATTGTCCCTGTCAGGATAAAGTCTCTATTTTGCAGACTTCATCTTGTCACTAAATACTTTATTATGTGTTAAATGACATCAGTTACCAGGATACAAAGCATTAGCTTACATTATCAAAAAGACTAGAAAAAGATTGTAAAAATCTAGCCTCGCTGTGCACAACGGTGACAACATCTTCCTACTAAAACATTTTGAGGAAACAAATTATTACAATACGTTTATCTGATTTATTTCACCTATACAAAAAAAAGTGCAAAGGTGATACGGGGTGATGTGCTGGACTTCTTCCAGGGATATATTAAATATAATATCTTAATTATTTAGCAAGGACTTTATTGTCTTTAAAGCACCAGGCTAGCTGTTTCCCTCCAGTCTTTGTGTTGAACTAAGCTAATCAGCTGCTAGCTTTACATGTAGCTGTCCTTTCTGTCCAAATCTTTCATTCTTTTAAACGCAGAACAAACTATCCTAAATGCAGCAGTGTCCAGGCCTTTAGAGGAAACTTTCCCTGTCTGCTGTATAGTATTGCAACATATTTAAGTAGTGCAATTTAGATCAATCAATAGTCATTTCCGGTAAAGCGGTAAAGCGAGCTGACAGACATTTAGCTAGTCAGCACTAACAGTCAGAATGATGAGTGGGATCGCCACAGAATGAACGGATGAAGTTGTTTGAGGTACGTACAGGAGTTGGGGGTCCCGTTGGGGGTCGGCAGGTAGGACCCTGCCTTCCAGGACTTGGCTTTGAAGCCCTTCTTGCAGCGCTGGCAGTCCTGGCCTGTGGTGTTGTGTTCACACTGGCACTGGAGGTTCCCGTCCAGCAGCAGGCACTGGGAGGAGTGGAGGTTACACTTACACCTTTCAAAAGAGAGGAGAACACACAGAGGGCAAAGGTGAGATGTGATGACATAAGGCCGAAAGTGGACCTGCAATCACACACTGATAGTGATAAGTGTTAATGATGCTAGGTACTACGGGGTTTTCACAATAAGAGGAGAACAAAGTGGTGCGTGTTAAAGGTCTGAGCAGAGACGGACAACAGATCTATTGTGGGTGAATTGCATTATGGTAATTATTATAAAACAAGATTAAACAAGATTAGGAGCGTATTAAAGTAAACACGGTTGCTCGTAATTTGTTGTTTACCAAGCAGTCACTGTAAATCACCATGTACAAGTGATGTCATGGCCATTTCTACTGATCATAATTCCATTGTTGAGGTCTACTAGAATAGATTATATTGTGCAATGTTTCAAACTCACATTGGTTTCTCTCACAGCATCTCTGTATAGTATGTGTATTCACTCTCTGTCCATGGCTTGCTGGAGCTCCTGCCCCCCCCCCCCTCCCTGTGAGCCCACTGTGCTCTGATTGGTCAGCTCGCCCACTCTGTTCTGATGAGTCCACCACCGTTACAGTGGAACATCAGTGATTATGTGTTACAATGGCGTTTGTTAGCAACCAGAAAATGACACCAGTAATGACAAACAGATGAGAACGCTGCGTGGGGTCTGGGTGCCGTGTTGGCGGGACGTTGCGGGGCTCGCTGCTCCGCCCTTTGAGGCTCGAGGAGCGGACAGTGTGAGCTGGATTACTGGTGTTGTTTCCTGGTTGCTGCGTGGGGTCTGCGAGACACCGCGGAGCTCAGCCTGAGCACACACTCAGGTGTGCGCGGAGATCCGCGGAGCCGCGGCTGAGAAAACATAAGGCTGAGTGAGTGAGTGTGTGTGTCACTATGACCAGGAAGAATAAAATGGAAAATGAGAAATCTCCAACGAGGCGTTCTGGGGCAGCATTGACAGGTCTTTTCTGTTCTTTTTTTTTCTCCTGAAGTTTTTCCTTGTCCGATGTGAGGGTCTAAGGACAGAGGGTGTCGTATTGTCATACTGATATTCTGTACAAACTGTGAAGTCCACTGAGACAAATGTAACATTTGTGATATTGGGCTATATAAATAAACATTGATTGATTAACTGATTGTTAGAGTTTTACTCGCTACAGGGTGTACTTTGAGGGTGTGTGACTCTGCAGACCGTTTACATGCAGAAAAAGCTACATAACACACAAGGGGATGGGTAATAACCAGAAAAGCATGACATGGGACCTTTAACATAAAGAGTAACATCTTTGGTTTTGTATGTGTGGGTTGTGTTAAGGGTGTGTGTACCTTTGCATGCATTATAAAATGTAACCCAGAAATGTGTTAAACACACTATTAATATGCAAAGACATCAAGAGTATTGCAAAAAGGTGTACTTTTATATTAAAGAAAGGCTACTCTGTTGAAATGTTATTATGTTGATCTCATTTCAGTATTCTACCACAACACACTGGCAAAGAACCCATTTCTATGTGTTGTTTGTTAGTGCCGTTTGTACAGTAGCCAGACAATCTGAGTTGATTTCCACAGCAGCTTTATTAACACCCTGAATAAAGCGTTAACAAGGAATCAAACTCTTCGACAAAGTATGGATCAATATCAAAAGTCAATGGTCCTGATTCACTGGACATAGATTTGAAACCTTTAATTGCTTCGTGAAATAGTTGAGAAAAAGTATATATTATTTTCCCTAAAGTGGAATGCAAAGTACTGTAGGTCCAAGATTGTTGGACCTACCCACTCTCTATCCCAGACCGCCCTTTTGGAGCAGATTGTTGTTTTCAATTACTGCTCGGAAATTCAAGTATCTTGAGTGTGTGTGCTCAAGTGTGCGTAAGTACATAAACATATTGTGTGTGTGTGCACAGTACGACCGCGGAGGGCAGGGCCCAGCTGGCTGAAGGTTGAAGTTCTTCTTGGTAGGAAATGAGGATCTTAAAGACATTCGGCGGCTACAACTTTAAATTACAGCCTTTTCCAGATGAGCGACTGGACTCCAATCCAGTTTGTTCCACTGGAGTGAACAGCTATCCGTCTGCATCAAATATTCAAAGAATGGCCGCTGTATTCTGGCGAGATGACTACTTCAATCTTCCTTCCTCACAACTCATCAGCTTTTTCTCATCACTTTTTTTTTGGTGGTTTATGCTAGCAACCTCAACCCAACATTACTTTCCATACAGAATGACTTAAAGTTAGAAACACACAGTAGGCCTCACAGGGGAAACAAATGGAGACAGTCGATCATGGGGAGTTGTGTCTCACATCAAGGGGCCGTCCTATAAATTACCCACGTTTCCCTCTGATCACCTGGACAAGCTGACAGAATGCGCCAGGGAGAATCCATCCTCCGACAAGGCCTTGTTTCCTGCATGCTTTCTGAAGGACACGAGCTGTCCACTTAGCGGGGAGGGAAATTGAACATCTCTTTTTCATATAGAGAATAGAGACTGAAGCGAATGTGTGTGAAATGAGACAGGTGTGTGTGTGTGTGTGTGTGTGTGTGTGTGTGTGTGTGTGTGTGTGTGTGTGTGTGTGTGTGTGATGCATTTATCTGAGAGTGACGAAGCCAGACAACAGATCAGAGAAGCAGAGGCCTGGATTGAGTGACTGACAGCGCCGGAACATATCACTGCTTCTCATCTCCTGCGTCTGCGCTGATAAATCTCATCCGTCTCATCTGAAAAGTGGAAGCACACCTGAGTGCAGGATCTAGATCAGTGGTCACCAACCTTTTTAAGCCCAAGATCACCGACCTCGGCCTAGGTGAAAGGCGAGATCTACCTATTGCAGAATTGAGTGAAGAAGACGGCCCAGACAGTGCTTCCAATTTGAGGCCTTTTATATAGGCTAATTGCATCTGAATTACTGTTACAATGAAGGCTCCATAATCAGCTCACGGCATATAGGCAGGGGTAAAGTGCTATTTTTTATGAGTGGGGGGCGGACCTCACCACCTCTAGGGGGGTCCTCACCTCCTCTAGGGGGGTCCTCACCTTCTCTAGGTCCTCACCTCCTCTAGGGGGGTCTGGGGGGATGCTCCCCCGGGAAGATTTTTTTTTCAATATTGAAGTTGAAAGCATCAATCTGGTGCACTTTGAGAGCAACATGAAGAGTTCTATGGATACCTCTCTCAGCACCCATATGAAACAGAACTGTAAACAGATGTTCTTTTTCTTTATGGATATTTTACAAATCACTCCCCTTTTAAACTTTATTGTTGTTTTACTGCCATAGTATTTCATACCTGTTTTTCATTAATTCTCTTATTGTTTGTATAACTATAATGATCATATGAAGGTGTGCCGCGGAAATAATCTTTTGAATAATTTGTGACAAAACCGTTCTAAACACTCAGAGTCCTTTAGCTCACCTGAGCCCCTCAGTCTGACAGGAGAGGACTCTCCTCCAGCTTGTTGTGGAAACAGCTCCTTATGTCCGTTAGTGCAGCTAGCTAACCAGATGCTAACATCACGGTCCCCGCTAGCACCGGTCCCTCTCTCTCCCTCTCTCCCTCTCTCCCTCCCTCTGTATCACACTAAATGCGCTATTGCCACACACACACAGAGCCGAGTTTGAATGACACAAGCACACGTGTATTTCCATGCAACTCTCTGATTGGTCTGGTGACTTGCCTCTGTTGCATTCATCGAACACGGGAAATTACAGTCCTGCCGTCCTCTCTTGTGTCAGGATGAGGTTCACGTAAAGCACGGTTAATGTATTATATTATTGAGGTGTCTCAAATATACGTCAATCAACTGGCACCTGCTAACGGGGTGGTGGATGATAGGTTTACATCTAAAAACGTATTTTTCAAACATTATTATTTTTATTTTATTTTTCTTTCTTTTGTTACTTTTTTAACGGTCCGCGATCTACCCGCACCACTCGATCGCGATCGACTGGTTGGCGACCACTGATCTAGAAGATGTAGTTTAAAATCAATACTGAAGAATTGTGATTGTCTACGTGTGATGCCATGCAGTTTTGGGTCTTGCAGGCTTAATTGCTGGAGCGGAAATGTGTGTCAATTATCCAGACAGGTGACATACTGCGTAGTTGGGGTAAAGCGTGCATTCATTTGTATCCATGAATATACCGTCATTAAATATGTAATTAAATGATTATAAAAGGCCCTATTCTGTTTAATGTAGTAAGTTTTTGTGAATTTAAATGGTCTGCAAAGGCTAACATCCTTTTGTTCTCTCCTACACACTGACTTGTGCTGCAGCACTGGCAGTATGAGAAAAATAAAGAGCTTTTTGAACATTAAAGCATGGAGACATTAGTAGAGGCACAAAATACTGATATGAAGCTGAAAATGCTGAAAATGAGCAGAATAGGTTCCCTTTAAAGCAAGGAGACGCTCTCAGGTTGAAACTTGGAGGACGATCCATCCCCTTGACCTGCTTTCTCTGACTCCTGCCACACAGCACAGCACCAGGAAGACCTAAAGTACTTCTTGCCTTGCACTCCTTCCGCATGAATGATGTGACACTCCGACTTTTCAAGTGCCATGTCTCTTAAGCTCCCTCTCTTTCGGATGACAGCTTGCACTGGGATTTCTCCCGATCCCCCTTCTTCGGTTCCTCCACGCACAAATAATACATGGGCACAAATGTTAATGTGCAAGATGTCTGCCTTCACTGCAAAGTCTTCAAAGTGGGGAGTAGCAGCTCTGAGCTGAAGGAAGTTAAGACGGGACAGCTGGATCCATCATAACCCTGTCTATTTACTCAGAGAGCAAGAGGGAGGAAATGAGAGATGGTGAGGGGAGGAAAAGACAAAGAAGGGCAAGAGCTGTGGAGAGAGAGAGTCAGAGAGGGAAGTAAGTGATTCAAATGTATTCCAGTCTACATTCGAAACCACACACACAAGGTGGTGTTTTAATTAGGTGGTGTAATTATGGGTCGATACTTCTGTTTATCCGTCTGTTGGGGACCCAGGAAAAACAAGAGTATCGTTCTTCTCAGCA